TCCCCGCACAGATCCCAATCTCGACACTGCTCCCCTAGCCTCGCAACACTGCTCATTAATCCAGGTCCACTTGGCACTGCCCTGGCCATCACAGTCCCGGTCCCCATCTTCGGACTTGGAGACAGGGTCTAGATACTCAGAGCGGGACCAGCAGAACAACAAGCCCCAGCGCCTAAGTCAAAGGACGCCAAGCACCTAGATTTATTTGGGCGTAAAGTGTATTCTATAGGGGGGTTGCAACTCAGGATTGCCAACCAGCACACAATTCTGAGTAGATACAGCTTCAACTCCTTGAACTCGATGCCCAAGTTTAAGGAGCTGGTGCCAACAGAGTCTGGGGAGGAGTTTAGAGCGATAGTGGAGGAGGGCAAGGTGGTGGCACGGACCTCTTTACAGGCCTCACTGGATGCTGCGGACTCAGTGGTGCGCACCTTGTCCTCCCAAATCGCTATGAGGCGTAGCTCATGGCTGCAGGCCTCTGGACTCTTTCCCCCCCTGCCCCCTCCCCAGGTTCAACAGACCATGCAGGATCTGCCTTTTGATGGGGCAGGTCTGTTTGCAGAGCAAACTGACTCTAGGCTGCATAGCCTAAAGGACTCCAGGGCTACCATGAAATCCTTGGGTATGCACACCCCGGCAACCCAACGCAAACATTTCAAGCCTCAGCAGCAGTGCTCCTATCCTCCTCGGCCAAGGCAGGACTTTTATAGGAGAAGGGGCAGGAATGGCAGATGAAAGCCTTCCAACCCCTCGGGCAGGGCCAGGGTCCGACTAAACCATCGTCGGGTTCCAAGGAGTCCTTTTGAAGGTGTGCTCGAGGACGGCGCACCAGCCTCAATTCCGGATCCTTCCCCATCTTTCTTGAATGTCCCACTTCTACCATGCTTGGTCCCAAATAACTTCGGACCGCTGGGTTCTCCATATGGTAGAAGTGGGATATTTTCTCTCCAGTTCTGCTCCTGCCCTCCCTCCCGCCCTCCTTTCCCATCCCTTTTCTCACGAGCAACTCCTTATCCAGGAGGTGCAGGCGCTCCTTGCCATGGACGTGGTGGAGGAGGTTCCTCAGCGGCAAGGGATTCTATACCTGATACTTCCTAATCCCCAAAGCCAAAGGGGAGGGAGGGGGTCTCGGACCCATTCTAGATTTGCGAGGACTCAACAAGTTCATGGTAAAGTTGAAGTTCTGCATGGTCTCCGTGGGCACAATTATCCCTTCTCTGGATCTGAGAGACTGGTACGCCGCCCTCGACATGAAAGACACGTACTTCCATATAGCTATTCGGCCTGTACACAGGCGGTTCCTACTCCTCGTGGTCAACCACAAACATCAATTCACAGTCCTTCCATTTGGCCTCTCAACAGCCCCCCAAGTGTTCACCAAGTGCATGTTGGTTGTGGCCGCTTTCCCGTTGGAGGCAGGTGCAGGTATACCCCTACCTCAATGACTGGCTGCTAAGGGGCCATACCAGGGGGCAGGTGGAGTCTCAAATCCAATTGGTCAGGTCCACATTCGAGAGACTAGGTGTTCTCCTCAACTCAAGGAAGTCAACCTTGGAACCGACCCAAAGAATTGAATTCATTGGGGCCGTGTTGGACTCGGTTCAGGCAAGGACATTTTTGCCAGGGTCCCGATTCCAAGCCATCACAGAGATCGTTCAAGACCTCCAGCAATACCTGACCACTTCAGCATGGGGATGCCTGAGTCTCCTTGGCCACATGGCAGCCTGCACTTACATCACCCGGCACTCCAAATGAAGCTCAGGCTTCTACAGGCTTGGCTCGCTTCAGCCTACCACCTGGGACGCGACAGCCTGAATTCAGTGTTCACAGTGCCGGGACAGGTGCTCGAGTCCCTTCAGTGGTGGCTCAACCCTCAGTCTGTAGGCGAAGGAGTCCCCTTCAACAGCCCTCAGCCCTCCTTGTCCCTGGTAATGGACGCGTCGGCTTTGGGATGGGGTGCGCATTTGGGAGACCTCCAAACGTGGGGCCTTTGGTCACAGGATGAGCACTTCCTTCATATCAACGTCAAGGAGCTGAGGGCAGTGCGACTAGCATGTCAGATCTTTCAGGCCTGACTACAAGGTCAGTGTGTAGCAGTTCTGATGGACAACACCAGGGCCATGTTTTACATCAACAAGCAGAGTGGAGCCCGGTCCTCTCCCCTATGTTGGGAAGCCCTCCGGCTGTGGGAGTTCTGCATAGCCCACTCCATTCACCTGGAAGCATCCTATCTACCAGGAGTTCAGAATGCACTGGCGGACCACCTCAGCAGGTCCTTCTGCAATCACGTGTGGCCAGATGTCCTGGCATGGAGGACCATGTAAGTAAACACTGCCATGTGGCCCGCAGGCACAGGCAGACCTTGGCTGTAGTCAGAAGGAACACAGAGACTTCTGCAATGAGGTTCGCTATCGTGTGGAACCTTTCCAGCTGCAGGACGCTCTGACGCAGGTAGAGTTGAGGACCGCTCCAATGAACTCTATCCTCTGCACTGGCACCAACGTCAACCACAGCAGGCCCAGAGAGCAGCACGTGGCTTGAAGTACCGCAACATCCCTTTAAACTTGAGACCTGGAGCCACGCTTGATGAGCCAGTCATCGAGGTACAGGTAGATCTGGATACTTCAGTGCCTGAGGTAAGCCGCCACCACCAACATGCACTTGGTAAACACCCTCGGTGCTGTCGCCAGGCCGAACAGGAGGACGGTAAATTGGTAGTGGTGGGGCCCCACCATAAACCAGAGGAAGCATCTGTGTCCTTGAAAGATCGCTATGTGGAAGTATGCATCCTTCTAGTCGAGGGTAGCATACCTGTCTCCCGGATCCAGAGAGGGGATAATAGAAGCCAGAGAGACCACTTTAGCTTCTATAGGTACTTGTTGAAGTCTCCTTAGGCGCTGATTCTGCGGGGTTGGAGTGGTGCAAGCACACACGGGGCAGAGGGGAAGTCGGTGCCTATCGAGGTCTCGCAGGTCCAGGATAGTCCGTATACCGCCCTTGGCCTTTGGGATTAAAAAGTACTGGGAATAGAACCCTTTGTTCTTACACTCGAGAGGAACTTCTTCCACCACACCCAGCTGTAGTAATTCCTTTAACTTGGGGAGGGGCCAGGGAGGGGCCACTGACAGGAGATGTCCTGTTTCTCAAGCCTGATCTACACTAAAGAGTTAAGTTGATGTAAGGTAGTCAACCTAATTGTGTAAGCGTCTACACTACAAAGTTCCTCCTGCTGATTTAATTTGCCAGCTATGCCAAGCTTCACCTTTGCGAGAGGCATAGCACTTGGGTCGATGTACACCTCTACCCTAATATAATGCTGTCTTATCGCGTTATAGGTGAAACCGCATTATATTGAACTTGCTTTGATCGCTGGAGTGCGCAGCCCTGCCCCCCGGAGCACCGCTTTACCGCGTTATATCCGAATTCATGTTATATTGGGTCGCGTTATATCGGGGTAGAGGTGTAGTTAGTTGACGTAGTGTTAGTATAGACACTGCATTGCTTACGTTGCCTGTTGCTGCCTTTGATGGCCGGAGACCCAGGCTGGTGGGGCTCTGTCCATCAATGCCTCACTCAACTCAGTGCAAGTGCTCATGGGGGGGGGACATGCACCACCGACAGAAGGAGCATAATGTGGACACAAACAGCTGATTTAATTACTGCAGTGCCTGTAGGTTGACCCAACTTAAATCATTTAATTGTTGTAGTGTAGACATGCCCTTCATTTCCTTTGTGTCTGTGTGCCTTACTCTAAAGCCTGAGGATGGGTTGGATAAGTTTGTCTCCATGTTGCCTCCCCCATTTGTGCACTGGTGGAGGGTAGCTGGGATGTCAGAAGCAATAGGCCCTTATGTAGATTGCATGTTCATTTTTAATTCTGAAAAGGACAATACACACAAACTTGTTCAGCTAGCAACAAATGTCAGGCTTCTGCTGAAATATAAGGCTGAATTCCATACCAGTTCTACGGTTAGATCTCATGACTCCTTCTCAAGGACTGAGACATGAATACTGAGATATATAGGGAAACTTCCTTGAAATGTAACTTCATGGGATGGTGATGTGAATATAGGTGGTTTATACCAGGTATTTAAGAAGTATATTTTTGGCTTTTTAAAAAAATGGTCTGTTAACTTTATCCAAGCCAATATAAAACATCTTTTTCTTGGTATGGGGTGAAGCTGTAGGCTGCTGCTCAAGTAGAGGTGGATAGCTGCAGTCTACCTGGACGTGACTTTCCATCTATTAGAACCAAGCAAGCTTTGGCTGGGAGTCTAGGTTGGGGAATACAGTTACTTTCTTGGAGTGCTGCTTCTCATTCATGCGTCATCATAGGGATGCTTGGGTATAGTGAACAGAGATGTATTTGGGTGAGTTGTTGACTGTTCCTCTGCAGTTTCCCAGATAATTTTGATTTTAGGGCCCTCTTTGATCTTATCTCATTTACATCTGGACTGACTTCTAACGGAGGATGTTTGGAGGGAGGCTTCTGGGTCTCCGGATATTTTTTCTTACTATAGGTCTCAATAATTAAGATAATTTATATAATTTTTGCCATTAGTTCAGACTTCCACAATAGTAACAAAATACAGTTACTCCACTCTGAGCGTCTCCTGGCCTGTAGGGGATAATTTAGGGGTGGGAGTCAGTGTTACTGAAATAGGAGTCGTTCTCCCACTTGAATTGGTTTAGCGAAATGTTTAGCCCTTCTGGGGGGCACAACCCAATTGCTGACAGTTGGAAGGAGCCTTTATAAAATGCATTAATGTTGGAATGCTGCTGTAACTGCGTAGGGAGTGATGAACACTTTTGACTTCTCAGCACAAATGGGAATCCTGTTTCCTCAGTTACCAGGGGTGGCTAAGGTGTTAAGCATTAATAGAGCTGGATGGTAGGAGAGGTGTTAAATTTGAATGACTGCTAAATATTATAGTTTAATTTTACTGATGATATGACTGGGAGACGTAAATTTGCTAACTTTTTTTCCCCTTTTTTTCCAGGAGGGCTATCGAGGGGTCACTCTGGTGCTGAACAGCATGCAGTCCTTTCGGGAGCAAAGCAGTTACCACGGAAACCAGCAGAGCTACCCACAGGAAGTGCACGGGGCATCCCGTCTAGAAGAATTTAGCCCCCGTCAGCAGACCCAGATGTTCCAGAGCTTTGGAGGAGGTGCTGGCAGTGGGCGCAGGGGAGCAACAGGAGCATCTGCAGCAATGGCTGGTGAGAGCTCTGGGCACCAGAGCTACCAAGGTTTTAGAAAAGAAGCAGGAGAGTTTTACTACATGGCCTCCAACAAGGATACAGTGGCAGCAGGTGGGCAGCAGCCACCTCAGCGCAGGCCGTCTGGACCAGTGCAGAGCTATGGGCCACCCCAAGGAAGCAACTTTGGGAGCCAGTACGGGAGCGAGGGACATGTGGGCCAGTTCCAAACACAGCATTCAGCCCTTGGAGGTGTATCTCACTATCAGCAGGATTATACTGGTCCCTTCTCTCCAGGGAGTGCCCAGTATCAGCAGCAGGCTTCCAGCCAGCAGCAGCAGGTGCAACAGCTGAGACAGCAGCTCTATCAATCCCATCAGCCTTTACCACAGGCATCCAGCCAGCCTGCGTCTAGCACCTCCCACTTGCAGCCAATGCAGCGTCCATCTGCCCTGCCTTCCTCTGCTTCTGGGTACCAGTTACGAGTGGGTCAATTCAGCCAACACTATCAACCCCCTGCTTCTTCCTCTTCCTCTTTCCCCTCCCCACAGCGTTTTGGGCAGTCTGGGCAGAACTATGATGGCAGTTACAGTGTGAATTCTGGTTCACAGTATGAAAGCCATGCTGTAGGTTCTAATTCACAGGGATATGGGACTCAATCTAATTACAACTTTCAGACTCAGCCAATAAAAAGTTTTGACCAGTCTAAGATGCCCCAGGGTGGGCAGCAGGGGCAGCAGCAACAGCACCCCTCACAGCATGTAATGCAGTACTCAAATGCTGCCACCAAGCTATCTCTTCAAAGTCAAGTGGGACAGTACAGCCAAGCTGAAGTCCCTGTGAGATCACCCATGCAGTTCCATCAGAACTTCAGTCCTATATCCAACCCATCTCCAGCTGCCTCAGTGGTCCAGTCTCCAAGCTGCAGCTCTACCCCATCACCCCTCATGCCAAGTGGGGAAAACCTCCAGTGTGGGCAAGGCAATATGTCGATAGGCTCTAGAAATCGAATTTTACAGATGATGCCTCAGCTTAGCCCGACACCATCCATGATGCCGAGCCCCAATGCTCATGGTGGAGGATTCAAGGGATTTGGGCTGGAAGGACTTCAGGAGAAGAGACTTACAGATCCAGGGCTGAGCAGCCTAAGTGCTTTAAGCTCTCAAGTGGCCAACCTTCCTAACACAGTCCAGCACATGTTACTTTCAGATGCCTTGGCACCTCAGAAAAAAAGTTCCAAAAGGTCATCGTCGTCTAAAAAAGGTGACAGTTGCACCAACTCAGAAGGCTCCTCCCAAGCAGAGGAGCAGCTTAAGTCTCCCCTGGCAGAGTCCCTCGATGGCGGCTGCTCTAGCAGTTCAGAGGACCATGGAGAGAGGGTCAGACAACTGAGTGGCCAGAGCACTAGTTCTGACACTATCTACAATCGGGGTAACTTAGAGAGATCCAACTTGTCACCAGCACAAGGCTCTCAGAATGAGCCAGCCAAACTCAGTACCAGCCCTACAGTTAGGGAAGATGTGGGTTCCCCGGGTGAAAAGGAAGTCCTGATAGCAGTGGATGCCACCCCAAAAGTGAACGAAAAGACAGTTGGGGTGATAGTCTCTCGGGAGGCCATGACAGGCCGAGTAGAAAAATCAGGCGGGCAGGATAAATCCTCACAAGACGATGCTCCTCCAGCTACCCAAGCGCCTCCTGGTGCCAGTGGAATAAAAGAAACTGGGCAGGTGTTACCACAGTCAGAGCCTCAAGGAGGGAGCAAAGGGAGTAAGAGTGGGGAAAACAATACTAACCACAATGGAGAGGGAAACAGCCAGCCTGGCCATGCAATCATTGGCTCAAGTTTTCCTGGCAGAACAGAACCTTCCAAATCGCCTGGCAGTTTGAGGTACAGCTATAAGGACAACCTTGGGGCTGGCATGCAGAGAAATATTGGTGGCTTTCCTCAGTATCCTTCAGAAAAAGGGGATTTTCCAGGGCATAGTGAGCGAAAGGGCAGGAATGAGAAGTTTCCCAGTCTTCTGCAGGAGGTCTTGCAGGGTTATCACCACCACCCAGACAGAAGATATGCTAGGAATGCACAAGAACATCCAGGCATGGCTGGAAGCCTGGAAGGAGCCATGAGGCCCAACATTCTAATTAGTCAAACCAATGAATTAACCAATAGGAGTCTCCTAAATAAAAGCATAGGGTCTCTCCTGGAAAGTCCTCACTGGGGCCCCTGGGATAGGAAATCCAGTGGCACAGCTCCGGAGATAAAACAGATCAATCTGGCTGACTATCCTATCCCTAGAAAGTTTGAGATAGAGTCACAGTCTTCAGCCCATGAAGGGGGAACACTCTCAGAGAGAAGATCCGTGATCTGTGACATATCTCCATTAAGGCAGCTTGTCAGAGATCCTGGGCCTCACCCAATGGGTCACATAGGTGCTGAGGCCAGAAGTGGGAGGAGTGACCGTCTCACTCCTGGTTTAGGCCAGTCAGTCATCCTCCCTGGTGGCCTGGTGTCCATGGAAACCAAGTTGAAGTCTCATAGTGGGCAAATAAAAGAGGAAGATTTTGAACAGGCCAAGACCTCAGTCAATCTCAACAGTAAAAAATCAGGAGACCATTGTCATCCTGCCAATGTTAAGCATGAGTCTTTCCGAGGCAGTGCCAACCCTGGAGCTGCAGCCCCTGATTCTACTCCAGACTACGTCTCCCAGCAGGACAGCAGATCAACACAGCTAAGACGAGCACCTGGAAGAATGGGAAGCAGCAGAGAGGGCATGAGGGGTAAATCACCTTCTCAATATCAGGATCTGGCTGACAAACTGAAGATGTCACCAGGCAGGAGCAGAGGCCCAGGAACGGACTTCCACCACATGAATCCACACATGACACTGTCTGAGAGGGTCAGCAGGGGTTCTTTGCATTCTCCCTTCCCTCAGAACTCTGAAGGCTCATCTTTGGCTTCGGCATATCACACAAACACTAGGTCTCATGCTTTTGGTGACCCTAACCAAAGTTTGAATTCCCAGTATCATTACAAAAGGCAGATATACCACCAGCAGCAAGAAGAATACAAAGATTGGAGCAGCAGTTCTGCACAGGGTGTGATTGCTGCAGCTCAGCACAGGCAGGAAGGGGCAAGGAAGAGTCCAAGACAACAGCAGTTCCTTGAGAGAGTAAGGAGTCCCTTGAAAAATGACAAGGAAGCAATGATGTACATCCAGGCTAGCTCTTACCATGATACTGGAAGCCAAGAAGCTGGGCGCTGTCTCATAGGGAGTGATGGTACACAAAACAAATGCACCGAATTAAAACATGGTGTCCAGAAGATGCAGCAACAGGAATCTGGTTGGGATCTCTCCCGACAGATCTCTCCTGCCAAGAACAGTGGGCCTCTAGGAGCAACCAATCAGAAAAGGTTTTGCTCTCAAGATAGTGATGGGCATAGGCGGGAGGAATCTGCGGATTTGCCCAAACCTAGTAATGCGATGCTGAGGCTCCCTAGCCAAGAAGACCAGTCTCCTCAAAACCCCTTAATTATGAGGAGGAGGGTCCGTTCTTTCATTTCTCCTATTCCCAGCAAAAGACAGTCGCAGGATATGAAGAACAGTGGCACAGAAGATAAAGGGCGACTGCTTCTCCCCTCAAAGGAAGGAACTGACAAAGCATTCAACTCCTATGCACATTCATCTCTAAGCCAAGATGCTGGCAAGCCACTCCCAAAGGGAGACTCCTCCAAGGATCTCCAAAGTCCTGACAACAGGAATTGCCCTGCTGTTTCCCTCACAAGCCCGGCTAAGACCAAAATATTGCCGCCACGGAAGGGGCGGGGATTGAAACTGGAAGCTATTGTTCAAAAGATTACATCCCCCAACATCAGGAGAAGTGTTTCCTCCAACAGTGCTGAAACTGGTGCAGATGCAGTCACCCTTGACGACATCCTGTCCCTCAAATGTGGACCACCTGAAGGTGGGAGTTTGGTAAGTCATGGACCAGAGACAGAAAAGAGAAAAGGGGAGACTGTGTCAGATCCAGTGGGGCAAGTGAGCCAGGAATTGACTAGTGAAACATCTCTGCCAAGATCTTCAGAAGAGTGGCACAGCAGTGGGGATGACAAAGTCAAGAAGGAGACGCCTGAAGTTGCTAGTGTCAGTAAAGAGGTATCTGGGGCCAATGTTGCCACACCACCTTCACAGAAGTCTGGTAGTCAAGGACGATTAGATGGATCCTTAAGTGGAGCTGGAACTCTGATGTTTCCTGACTCAAAAACAGTTTCTCCTTCCAGTATGTTGATTTCTGAACCAAACCCAAAGTCTGAAGAAAAAGATGGAGATATGACAAATATTTCACCTAAGCCAGATGGCTTCCCTCCAAAGGGATACTTCCCCTCTGGAAAGAAAAAAGGGAGGCCTATTGGTAGCGTAAACAAGCAGAAGAAGCAGCAGCAGCAGCAGCCGCCACCACCACCACCTCCTCCACCAGTGCCACTACCACCACAGCCATCAGAAGGGACAAGAGGTGGAGAACCAAAACCTAAGAGACAAAGGAGGGAGAGGAGGAAACCTGCAGCACAACCACGAAAGCGGAAAACTAGACGGGCCACTCCAATTGTGGAACCTCAAGAACCAGAGATCAAGCTGAAGTATGCCACCCAGTCGCTGGATAAAACTGACACCAAGAACAAGTCCTTTTTCCCGTACATTCATGTGGTAAACAAGTGTGAGATAGGCGCTGTGTGCACAATCATCAATGCAGAGGAAGAAGAGCAGAACAAGTTGGTGAGGGGCCGAAAGGGACAAAGGTCACTGACACCCCCTCCTAGCAACACTGAGAGCAAAGTTCTGCCCACCTCAACTTTCATGCTGCAGGGCCCCGTGATAACTGAGTCTTCTGTCTTGGGGCATCTGGTTTGCTGCCTGTGTGGAAAGTGGGCCAGTTACCGCAACATGGGAGACCTCTTTGGGCCTTTCTATCCCCAGGATTATGCAGCTACACTGCCCAAAAACCCGCCTCCCAAGAGGGCCTCAGAAATGCAAAGCAAGGTCAAGGTACGACACAAAAGTGCTTCTAATGGCTCCAAGACCGATACAGAAGAGGAAGAAGAACAGCAACAACAGAAAGAACAGAGAAGCCTGGCTGCCCACCCCCGCTTTAAGAGGCGGCATCGCTCTGAGGATTGTGGTGGGGCCTCTCGGTCACTTTCAAGGGGAGCTGCTTGTAAGAAAGCAACCACTGAGGGTGGCAGTGGCAGTGAAAAGACTCCTTTGGACTTAAAAGCCCCCATGCCCACTTCAGAAGGTGGCCCTGAGCTGGAATTACAAATTCCTGAACTACCTCTTGACAGCAATGAATTTTGGGTCCACGAGGGTTGTATTCTCTGGGCCAATGGAATCTACCTGGTGTGTGGCAGGCTCTATGGGCTGCAGGAAGCTGTGGAAATAGCAAGAGAGATGGTGAGTACCAGAATTTACTATGTATTGATGGATGAAAGGTTTTTCCTTTTGCAACCATAGAATTTTTCCTTCCCTGTAATATCCTTTTTTTCTTTCTGCTATACCTCAAGCATCCATGTTTCCTCTATATAAATCTTCAGTAGTTCCCTTTTGATGAAGGGTAAAAATCCTACTTTAGGTGGTCACCTAGTGAAATTTAGTTTGGGCTGAGATTTTTAAAGCCACCTGAAGGATTTGGATGCTCTAGTACCTATTAATTTTAATGAGAATTAGTTGTCTGAGGGATTTGTATATCCATGAAGATCTCAGCCTTGTTCTTTATCCAGTTTCTATTAAATACTGATTCATATCCTACAACCGCAAAAGTGTAGGTGTGGCCTTTGTAGTAGGGAGGCCATTTAGACTAGCTAGTGGTGCTGCAAGCCTGGATCAAGGTGTATTGTGTGTATTGATGAGCTTCAAAAAGAGTACTGTCTAGTCCTTATTGGCCAGAAAGATAGTTGCCAGGATGTGAGGACTTGGGGATGTCTATATAGATTCCCAGGCCAGAAAGAGCCATTGTGATCATCTTGCTTGACCTCATGTGTAACACAGGCCATAGATCTTCTTTGAAATAATTCCGAAAGTATATCTTTTTAGAAAAACATCCAATCTTGATTTAAAATCTGCCAGTGATGGAGAATCCACCAAGAACTTGGATAAACTGTTCCAGTGGTTAATTACTCTCACTGTTAAAACTTATGCCTTATTGCCAGTCTGAATTTGTCTGTCTTCAACTTCCAGCCACTGGATTGTGTTATAGCTTTCTCTGCTAAATCGAAGAGCCTGTTATTTAATAACTGTTCCCCAGGTAGGTACTTAAGGACTATAATCAAGTTCCCCCATAACCTTTTCTTTCTTAAGCTAAACAGATTCAGCTCCTTATGTCTGTCTTTACAGGGCATGTTTTCTAATCCTTTAATCATTCTTGTGGTTCTTCTCTGAACCCTCTTCAATTTATCAACATCCTTCTTGAATTATGAACACCAGAACTGGACACACTATTCCAGAAGTGGTCGTACCAGTGCCAAATACAGAGGCGAAATAACCTTTCTACTCCTACTCAAGATTCGTCTGTTTATGCATCCAAGGATTACAGTAGCCCTTTTAGCCACAGCGTCACACTGGGAGCTCATGTTCAGCTGATTATCCACCCCGACCCCCAGTTCTCTTTCAGAGTCACTGCTTCCCTCAGTATTCACCCATCCTGTAAGTATGGCCTGCATTTTTTGCTCCTAGATGTATACATTTACATTTAGTTATATTAAAGCATGCATTGTTTGCTTGCACCCAGTTTACCAAGCAATCAAGATCACTCTGAATCAGTGACCTGAACTCTTCATTATTTATCACTCCCCCAATTTTGCATCGTCTGCAAACTATCATTGATTATTTTGTTTTCTTCCAAGTCATTGATACAAATGTTAAATAGCATAGGGCCAAGAACCAATCCCTGCAGGACTCCATTAGAAACATATCTGCTCGATGATGATTCCTCAATTACATTTAGAGACGGATCAGCCAGTTTTTAATCCATTTAGTGCGTGTCATGTTAATTGTATATCATTCTAATTTTTAATCAAAATGTTATGTGGTACCAAGTTAAATGCCTGACAGAAGTCTAAGTATATTACATCAGTACTATTACCTTTATCAACTAAACTTGTAATCTCATCTAAAAAGAGTACCAAGTTAGTTTGGCAGGATCTATTTTCCATAAACCCTTGTTGAGTGACATTTAATTATATTACTCTCCTTTAATTCTTTATTAATGGAGTCCCATATTATCCACTCCATTATTTTGCCTGGAATAGATGTTAGACTGATAGTCCTATAATTACCTGGGTCATCCCATTTACCCTTTATAATATTGGCACAACATTAGCTTTCTTCCATTCTTCTGAACTTTTCTGGTGCTCTAAAATGTATTGAAAATCAATGTTAACTGTCCAGGAGCTCCTCAGCCCGCTCTTTTAAAACTCTCAGATACAAGTTATCTGGACCTGCTGACTTCAAAAAATGTCTAACTTTAGTAGCTGCTATTTCACATCCATCTGCGATACTGAAAGTGTTCTCATCTAATTATGAGACTATAGCATCTGTTTTTTTCCAAATATAAAACAAATACTTATTGAACACTTCTGCCTTTTCTTCATTATTATTATTGATTCTACCGTTTCCATATAGCAATGGGCCAGTGCCATTGTCAGGATTCTTTTTTTCCTAATATACTTAAAAACTCCTTATTGTCCTTAACTCTGCTGACTATAGATTTCTGTGTTCCTTTGCTTTCCTTAGCAATTGTCTTCAATTCCTAATTTGTTATTTATATTTATTACTCTCAACTTCCCTTTCTTCCATATGTCATGTTTTTTTTTTTTTTAATAGCTGCCTTCCCTTCCCCTCTAAATCAGGTCAGATTTTTAATCATCATGGGCTTCCTCCATTGTGGCTCGTTGGACATATAGTAAATTCTCAGTTATTCGCTTTTTTTCTGAGTTGGTTCTTCCTCCCAGCTGCTTTGGCTCATAATTGTTTTCAGCTTTGTGAAATTGGCCCTTTTAAAACACCCAAGAGTGTGTGTGTGTGTGTGTGTGTGTGTGTGTGTGTGTGTGTGTGTGTATATATATATATATATATATATATATATAT